TGTTCATTTGTGAATATTGTTATTATGAGAAAAACATGTAATAATCATAAACTGTTGTTGGTCACAGAGTTTATTTCTGCAATAATCCAAAAGTTGATGCAAAATTCTACTGGGTTTTTGTTAATGGAACAAGGGTGATCCTCAAAATTCCTCAAAATAGCCTACAAAATTATGCCACCCAAGCAGCACGCTATAGTGTAACATGTATAGAACAACATAACATAGATATGGACACAGAGAACCACACAGAGACATTTAATAACCTCTGATTAAGATCATTTCTGTTCACCCAAATGCGGATGACAGCAGCAATCTCCTCTCCTCAAATAAACCTCATACAGTCACAAACGTCCCGAAGTGTGTCAGTCTGTGTGCGGGGTCCGGTCGCATATAATTATATAATTAAGTCTTGTCTGATTGTTCTCTATAAGAGGGCAAAGGGGCCGTTTGAATGTGTATCTCAGCAATTAGGGACTTTTCAGAGTGTAGGAATGTGGTGTGCTTGGCATTTTTGAGTAAAAGGGCAGCTCTCTGCTTGAGAGTGCCAGCGCTGCGGGATGAGATCATGACTGGAGATGCCCACTCGCTGGAAACAGCGGCACTACTTTTGCTCCCTCGCTCCCTCTTTCCTAACAGCTGGGGGAATTCCAGACCCGTTAGATTATGGATTGAGGATATTAAGGTTTTTAGGCCTAAATCAGATGTTATGCCTCTGTTGTGCTCCCGCCCTCATAGCTGGAACATTTTAAACCCGACGAACCGACTCGCTTTCTTTTTTCCGCACTCTTGCTTTCTCACTCTGGGCAGGATTTGGCTGTTTGCTGATAAGCCGTGTGTGTATGAGGTGGCAGGCAGGCCGTTTGCTTTGCAGATAGTACGGTAGTGCTATTGTTGCCCAGCAGGAGTTGTGCAAGGGATAAGAATAATCTGGAATAACGCAGGCGTGAACGGAGATTACAGTCGAGGTGAAAGGCACGGTGGACCTGAGGCCTGCTGAGCTTTTAAAACAAAGATAGAACAAACGCACGCTTGATACAGACACACGGAGGCATTACATAAGAGCCAGCCAGACTTGATGCCCTTTAGCCAAACACAGCATTTACCCCATATCTAAGACCAGAGCCCTTTGACTTTGCCTCTGTATTAAATGTCTGTTCAAGTCTGTTAAAAGGTCACAGTGATGCCATGTGTAAATTTCATGGTGGATAAGGATGGCAGTCTGGGACACTTTCTGGTTGGCTAAGAGAGTGAAGCAGTGGTTGCACTAGGCTTTGAGCATGAAAATCAGGCCCGGTTCTACGGGGGTGCTAGGTGCTCAAACGAAATCAAAAGCACCCTCAGTTAAAGCTGTATTAATGGCATTTTATTGAATATTTGGTCAAATATCCAGTGCGTTATGGTTTGCACTCTGGAGATCGATTTCTATTTCAACGTGTTTTTGCAGCGTTGAGCAATGTAGCCAATCACGGACATATCTGTTGATTTCTAAAATCAGAGGCGTTTAAGTTAGAATCCACTCACTGCTGAAATCGCCGGAGTTTTTGGTCTGGTATTGTGTTCAGTGCGAATCATCTCATTATAACAAAGTGTTGACAACGTAAATAAGAGATTCGTTGTGCAGCGTAGAGAACTTTATTGATAATAACATATCTTTGTGAGATTGCGATGAACTAAGATGAGTGACAGCTTTTTAGTGATTATGAACGGAGCGCTCTTTGAGCCATAGCAACAGACGCAAATATATATATAGCCTATATAGGCTATATATACACTACCGTTCAAAAGTTTGGGATCACTAAGAATTTTAATATATTTTACCAAAGTTTATTGTACTCATCAAGGCTGTATTTATTTGATCAAAAACAAAGAAAAAAAATGTTATTTTGTGAAATATTATTGCAATTTAAAATAACAGTATATATTTTAATGTACTTTAAAATATAATTTATTCCTATGAAGCAAAGCTGAATTTTCAGCATCTCCAGTCTTCAGAGTCACATGATCATTCTAATATGCTGATTTATTATCAATGTTGGAAACAGTTGTGCTGCTTCATGTTTATTTGGAACCTGTGATACTTTTTTCAGGATTATTTTATGAATATATAATTAAAAAAAACAGCATTTATTCAAAATGGAAATCTTGTGTTACAATATATACACTACTGTTCAAAAGTTTGGAGTCAGTAAATTTTTTTTCTTTCTTTTTTTGAAAGTAATGTATACTTTTATTCAGCAAGGATGTGTTAAATGGATAAAAAGTGATAGTATATTAAAACAGAAATCCAATATTAGAAATTGAAATAATATCTCACAATATTACAGTTTTTTCTGTATTTTTGATCAAATAAATACAGCCTTGATGAACACAAGAGACTCCATTAAAAAACATTAAAAATCTTACTGATCCCCAATTTTTGAACGGCAGTGTATATACATACATATAGTTGTGTTACAGCACCCTCACTAATTTAAGAAGCACCCTCAGTTGATTTGATTCTGGAGCCGGGCCTGGTTAAATTGTATTTTATAATCTATTATCTATTCAATTTACAGGTCAAACTTCACCAAACTGGAATTATTAGTACCAATAAAATACAGACAGACAAGACAGACAGACGAGACAGATAGATAGATTACCAGTTTTGATTTACATACAAACTGTATCTTATATTAAGATTTTGCGGCGAGTCTGTGTTTAGACGACAGCATTACTCCATTGATCCTATTCCCTAAAAAAAAAAAAAAGCAGATATCCAAAGAAGATTGCTCGGATTTGAGAAAAACACTGATCATGAAAGGATATTAAAATAGACAAGAGAAAGAAATAACAGATTCCCAGGACTTTTCAACATGCCTTTAAGTTCCCTTCATTTGCCCTCTCTTGTCCCTCTCTCTTTTTGTTCTGTTTTTCCCCACCCATTGAGAGCAATGTGTATGTGAAAGAATGTCATCGTGAGACACACAGACTGCTCTCTACTGCCGTTTACCATCTGAAAATCATGTCTTAACTGTGTTGTGTCCAAATTCACAGGCTTATTTGACTGACTTACTGAATGGCACAAGCTGTGTTCGTCTAAAAGAGAGAAGAAGTGATCTGTTTCTCATTTTTGCATTTAACCTAAACTACTTTAACGCTGTTTTGATGTGCCTTTTTAACTAAAGGCTTTCTAAAATACAATTTACATTTACCTGCGAGCGGAACTATGCAAATGAGTCAAGAGCACCCTCTGGTGTTTGCTTTGTGTAAACCACTTTCATTAGGCGTTTCTGTCACACGTTATTTTTTAGCAGCGTTCATTACTATTGCAATATTAATTAAGCGTTAAAAAAATCGAACTTCGTATATTTTGACCTGCAAATTATGAACGGAACCTCAAACCTCCTCCACTTGAGGAGAGATGCTCTATTCCTTGTCTAAATGATATACCCTACCCTACACACTCAGGCTTTCATTTAGTATACTATACAGTGGAGATCAAAATTAGAGCACAACCTATAAACTGAAATACTTTTTACATTTTTTTTCTGAAATAATTGTTCATCTTCATCGCTCAAAATGTAGCTGTGGGTACACCAATGTTCTACTAACATGTTTGACAAATTATCCAAGGCATTTGAACAAAAACCTTTATTTTGTGGAAAACAGTGATCAAAATTATAGAACAGTAACCACTTTAGCACGGAAGATGATTAGAAGTACATTTTTAGAGGGTCAGCGGTCAAAAACTAGTAGGAATTGTAGAGGCCCTTGCTTTGAATGACTTCAGCACATCTGTGTCCGCAGGACATCACTAGTTTCTCACACTGCGCTGGTGTGATCTTGGTCCACTCTTCTTCCACAGTTTGGTAACTGTAGTGGGTTTCTTAGCCATAACTTTATCACCAAGGATTTTCCAGAGATGTTTTAGTCGGGCTTAGATCAGAACTCTGGGCAGGCCATTTCATTATTTCAGTGTTTTCAGCTTCAAGGAACTGCTTTACCCATTTTGCAGTGTGACAGAGGCATTGTCCTGAATGAAAACTGCAGGCTGATTGGGAGATGTTTGCAGGGAAGGAATTGCATGTTGCTGAATGAGGTTCTGATAAACATTTGCATTCATCCTGCCATGTAGCTGTATTAGTCTTTCCCCAGTTTGGCGCTGAACAAAATGTATCCCATCGGACCCAACTAAATTAAACTTGCAATTCCAGCTGCAGTGTTGAACCGACTCCCCATTGAGAGTCTCTGAATTATCTTGTCTTCTCATGCATTTGTCTCACGTGGAAGACCAGCGGTTGGGGGGCTTGAATGAATTAGTGTAAATTTGCAGTATTCGAGAAATCACAGATTTGGAATTACTAACTTCTCTTGCAGTGGCTGAAAGTGTCATCCCTTTGGCCTTCATCTGGACTGCCTCCTGTCGCAGGGTTTCAGTCACCTTACAGCAGCCCGCAATCTTGCAATCTCAGTTAAAATTAGAGGAATGCTGCCAGTTAAATAGGGTTTGTCATATAATTAAGAAAATATGCACCAGGTGATAACACCAACAACTTCTCTAATTTTGATCAGAGATCTTTTTCAAAAACCTCATTTAATTTTTTATACTGTGCTGCAGAATACAATTAATTTATGAAATATGTTTTAAATACTGCCCTTCTGCTCCCGTTAGGATAGCTTTAAATAGGACTAAGCAGTGACCTTGTTCTCTAATTTTGATCTCCCCTGTAAACCTAGTTGGAAAATCCTACTACACCAAAGGAACCCTACAGGCCTACTACAACCGAATTACTGAAAATGTTAAAGACCACCATACCATCTTATTTATTTCAATTTGTAGACTATTACTTAGCAATTGTGAAGTCAAATTTATTCATATTCATTAACAGCTCTTTTGTAATGGTCAGATTTAAATATTTATAACAGAATATATTTAATAACATTATGCAAACAAAGGCTTTTACACTACAAAACAGACCAAAAAGATCCAGGATGAAGCATAATTGTTTGTTCACTGAGATAGTCTACTGGAAAACTACACAGATGAAACACATTTTTAATTATAAACTATAATTTAACATCATGTAAATGTCAAGTAAACAATATGCTCATGAATTCAGCATAGCATTTCTGCAACATATAATTTATATTGTAAAATGTGGATTTGAACGGTGTTTTATGTGTGTTTCAGTGCATTTAGCAGAGTTGTGCAGATTATAGTTCATTGTGTCCACATTAAATGGCGAGTTTGTTCAACTTGTACGTATCTGTCTGATTACCACACAGCCACAACTTGCCAGCTGCTCCTCAGTGAATCTCCTGTATTGTCCACACACCATTAGCGTCACTGCTGCTTTTCCTTTCCTTGTTCTGTACAGTGAGCTTGTGGCAGTCAATGTGTCTGAATTCTGCTGCAAAAATCGCAAAGAGCGCAAAACAACACATGACCAGAGCCCACTCACATATGGCAGCTTCAGAGCGAAACCCTGTTTTATAGAGAACAAACACTTAGAAGGCATAAGGTTAAGGACAACAAAATTACAACTTATAATAATATGAAGTGAAAATGCATTCATTTCATAACTGAAATGAGTTATGAAATGTTATCATCTTTTAGAGCTGAAGGATACTGCAGATGACCAAACAAGTACACAGGCTGCAGAGGACAATTCGCACTGGCACCACCCATTTGCGGTCATTTGGCGGCGGGCTGTAGTACGAAAGCCACGCCTGGATCCAGAAATAAACCAAACCCAGGACGAAGGCCATGAGCGCCCCAAACAGATGAACCCCCTTCACTACAGATTGCTAATAATGCAAATGCAAACACAAATAAGCACAACACAATTTACAAGTAATCAAGTAACCCTCGTTTGTTTGCAGGCTATATACTGTACCTGGAAGTTTCCTAGAATGGAAATCCCAATGCTAGAGATGAAGCCAAGCACCAAACCGGCCGTGTTTAAATGAGACCCAGAACCCAAATCGCGGACCTGCTGAAATCTGATTGTGACAATCCACAAAGCTACGGAAACAGAAAGAGTTCACACAAAAGGTACAGTACATGGGCCAATTTTCCAAATAAGATGAGAGGACTCACCCAACACACAGCATATGTTGCAGATCTGAGAAAACAGGCAGCTCTGGGGGTTGTATGAGCCACATGTGCTGGAGGAAACAATACTCATTGATTTTCAATGTCATATTTTCAAATTCACATCCATTTATTATGCCTTTCTAGCTCTGGAACATCTTACAGACACACAGTTAATCACTCAACGCTTTAGTTAAAATCATAAGTAAACACTTCTTGAGGAAGCTTAGATCCATTAATGTTAGATGGAGGCTTATTTTTAGCTCAATAATTACCATGTTGTTAAAATATATACAGTATATATTAAACACACTGTCCCACATGGCCTCGTTTTCATTCCTGTCAAACATTATACATGGCGCTACCCTGACTAAGTCTAATTTAAGATACATACCTGATGAAAGGGAATTCTTCGGTTATATTAACAGTGTTATTGGACACAGCTATGGCATACCTGCACACAAACAAGTGCAGAAAGAGTCAAATAAATAAATGTTTTGTATTGATATTGAAAAGATATTGAGGATATTAAAAAGGGTGAGAGAAATATTTTGAAAAGAGTGAGAGAAACATGAAGTAATACTCACACAGCCCACATCCCAATAGTCCCAAACACTGCCAGGGTGACAGGAAGTAATGCCCAAGCCCACATGATGGACCAATCAGATCACCTGTAGAAAAACCAAGTGTCTCTTTACATATAAACACACATTTATTAGCATGTATAAATTTCACTGTGACCTAGCAAACATTTCAATGACTGAACAGTTCCCTATAAAGTCTTCACAGGATATTCAACCAAGGCATAGAAAAGTGTCAAATTATGTATTATATACATTTATATATGGAGCAATAATTATGTATTATGGATTATACATAAGGAACCTATGAATCAGAAGTCAACTCTAGATAAACAGTTAGGAAGTATCTGCTTAGGTTTTTACAACCCCACCAATATAAGATATCACATAGTGTTTAAGGGAGTGTCACGTTTTTCCCCATACACCTGTTCTGGTTATAGTGGTGTTGAAAGTCATCTTGTATTTTATTCTTTACTAAAGAACAGCATATGAAAGAGAGTCTTCTTACTTTCAATTCAATTCAATTCAAAGCAAACTTTACAGCAAAGCAACTTTACAGCACTTTACTTTTCTGACTATTAAAGCCTCAAAACCAAATTCCCTTTCAGCGTTTTTCAAGCTGTACATCTGCCAGTTTTCCTTCAAATGGCAAAGACTGGTATGCAGTCAGATATTGAGACTACGGTTTACTGCTTCACTGGGAATTAATATTACTGTCCATCTCCCATGTATTATTTTCTCAGGCCAGCAGAGTAGAATGACATTCCCTTTTATACTTTGGTTCTTCTTTCCATTACTCTTGTGGAAATTGTTCCTACCACTAAGAACAGATATTTACAATCATGTAAAACAGTTTTTATGACAATTATTATAAAATAATCTTAATTCAGGGCAAATGCAAAGGGTTAGACACCAAAGGATTTCTTATACCAGCACAAACCTACAACCGTATGTCAAAAGAGCCGATCATCTATATTTGGACTGTCTGTCGTTTCTGTGAGTTTACTTAACAGACTAACTTAAAATGTCCACAAATAAACATTGGACATGCGAAATATAATAGAGTAAGAAAAGACTACAGAAATATCACAATCACCACTGAACTGATTTTAGCATGCTAGCTGTACGTTAGATACAGTGATTACAGCAACAGCAAAAAAAGAAAAACAAAGTGTTTCAATTTTCCTTTACAAAGTGTTCAGTTTAAGAAAATAAACCTAAGATCGTAAAAGTAGTAAGAAATCTTAACTTTGAGGAAAGAGACAATGAAATAAGCAAGCATAACTTACATGTTCGTAGGCTATAATTTACTAAGTTACTGTTCAAAAGTTTAGTTAATTTTTATTATATAGCCTATTTATTTTCATTTAGCAAGGATACTAGTTCAAAATTTAAAATATAAATGTTTTAAGACGTTTCTAATAGAAGTATTTTTAATGATTTCTGGAGGACCATGTGACACTGATAATGCATTACATTTAATTTTAATAAAAATAAGACAGCATGTGAGCAAATAAGGGACCTCTTTCAAAAACATTTAAACAATCTTACCGACTCAAACTTTTGAACGGTAATATAGCATATTTGAATAGCAAATGAGAAGAACCTCACCTCTCACCTACAACGCTGCTTGTGTAGTACGTGTGTGTGTGTTCCTAGAAATCAAATCACATTATATCTCACACACACACCTGCTTTTCCTTCTTGCAGATAGCGATGCATCACTCAGAAACAGTTGCTTATACCTGCTCGTCAAAGCAATATCAACTTGCATACAGGCATGCACATATGGCCAAGTGTTCAAGGCGAACGTCAAAATGGAGACAAAATATGATTTTTGGCACAACAGTTTTAAAGTTTATGAGGGATGGCCTTGTTGGCGCATAAAAACATCCAGTGAGCGGGTAAGTTAAATAAATCCTTGTTTAAAACGGGCGAAATCAAAGAAGAATCGCCAGACAGGTTCAAGGAGACCGTACATGAACGTTCAACAGGTTTCAAACCATTTGTGACTATGGACTTTGCGCCAGATCATAGCATTACGACTACTGCAACCTGTCTACCTTTCCCTTATCTTGTTCTATTTCACGTTTTTTACACCCTCATGAAGAATTGTGCCACGAGTAACACCATATCATTTACACATAAGTTAATAATCTGTTTCCTCCCTCATTTTATTACAGCCAGTTAGCCATTAATTGCCACAGTAACGCAGAGACCTTCTAAATCATCTAAATGCTGTCATTACAGTCTTTGTTATTACTTAACATCACGTGAATGTGATTAAAATACCTCAGAAAACTAAACAAAAAAATTATTATAGTTTTACAGTTTATATAGGCCCTATCTCCTGGATACATGGCCTAACACCCATTAAAAAAGTATAACTTTTTTTAATGGGTATATATATATATATATATATATATATATATATATATATATATATATATATATATATATATTAGGGCTGTCAGTTTGACGCGTTAATTAATTAGTTAAAAAATTAACGCGATTAAAATATTTTAACGCAGTTAATGCACTGGCCATAAATGCAGTTATGCCCTAAAATTCAAGATGTTGGTGCAAAAACTGCCCCTGTATGACTTTTTTTTAATCATATTTATATCATACTATATCACACCAGCAGTGAGAGCAATATCAAGTGCTGATTTTGTCCCGAATATCACGAGTTAAATGTGGTTTTATACAACAGTTCAGTAAATAAGAAGTTGATATTGTGTTATATTTTAAACACAATAGTATGTGTTATTGCTCAATTTTGCAGAGAACATATTACCTTTAAAGCCATAGCAGAATTGTTGTGCATCTCTGCGCAACACAGTGGTGTTTTCTGAATGAATCCGCGTTTTGAACGAATCGTGTGAACCAATGATTCAAAGCTATTTACTGAATTCCTGAATGAATCAGCCGTTTGAACGAATCGAATGAAGACATTTACCTCCACTTGCTGGCAGATTAGTTTTTTATTTGGAGTATCATTTCATTAAAAATAAATACATAAAATAAAAGTAATAATATACTAATAATACTAATAATATACACACACACACACACACACACATACACACAAATTGTCATCATTTACTCACCCTTATGTCATTTCAAACCTTTCTTTTGTGGAACATAAAAGAAGGTATTTTGAAGACCGTTGGTAACAAAGCTGTTTTGGTTACCAATGACTTATTGTATGAACAAAAAATACTGAAATGTTTCTCAAATTATCTTCTTTTATGCTCCATAGTTTATGTTGGGCCGTAGTAGCCTAAATGTTTATGTGTAATACATTTTATGTTGAATCAAAATAAATATTTTTTTCTAAAGCTAATATCTTGATATTTTCTCATTTAACACAAAAATAGCTTTAAATAATCTTTTGTGGGTATTTTCACAGTCACATTTATTTTGCAATTAATTAGAATAATCAATCAACACATCATGTAATTAATTAGATTCAAAATTTTAATCGACTGACAACCCTAATATATATACACTCACCGGCCACTTTATTAGGTACACCTGTTCAAGAGTATTGTACTTACGTACACTTTTTGAGTATCTGTACTTAACTTATTATTTTAAGTTAATTTTAAGTTGAGTATTATTTTTTCTGGAAACTTATGACTTTAACTTCACTACATTTGAAAGACAAATATTGTACTTTTCACTCCTTAGACACATTATATTAGACATATTATATTAGACATTTACCTATAAAGCCACAGAAGAACTGTTGTGCATCTCCTAATAAAACACAAAAGGTGTTTGACTGAAGCAGCACGAATGGCTACACATAGATGTGTAGAGCAGTGTGAGATCACTGCATCCTGCTTTTGTGGGGGTGGATAGTTAAATAATTGTTTTTTTCCCCATAGGTTTTTAACATTCTAAAAGCTTTTTATTCCAAAGATACTACAAGCTAGTCAGTCTATTAAGCAGGTGTAATGTATTGTAAGTTGCTTCAGAGGTATTGCAAGTATTACATACAACAATAATAAAACAGTGCATTGACATAAGGAAATTTACTTTTGGTACTTAAGTACTTTTAAAAGCAAGTACTTCTGTACTTTTACTTAAGTAAAAATCTGTCTTTACAACTTTTACTTGTAATGGAGTAATTTTTGACCAGCAGTATCTGTATTTTCACTTAAATAATGGAGTGGTGTACTTTGTCCGCCTCTGGTGGCCAGTGAATGTATATACACACATTTAAATTTAGTCATTTAGCAGACGCTTTTATCCAAAGCGACTTACAAATGAGGACAACAGAAGCAGTCAAAAACTAACAAAAGAGCATCAATATGTAAGTGCAAATGACAAGTCTCGGTTAGCCTAACGTAGTACACGTAGCAAGGTATTTTATATACATACACATACATACATACATACACAAAGAAAAACAAGTAGATAGAATAGAAAAAATAGAAAGCTAGTGGGGTTTTTTGTAGATAAAAGATAAAGTAGAATTAAAATAGAACAAAAAGTGCTAGATAGATATATAATTTCTATTAAATACCAAGTTATCCTTTGAAGTACCTCTCAAATACCACTTTTTTTTATATAACACACATGATAAAACCATCCTGAACTGAAGGCTGGTCTTAGCTGCTTTAAGCTGGTCTTTATCTGGTTGGTTGGTCAGCTGGTCTCCCAGCATGATGAGCTAAGACCAGCTAAAGAAGTGGTCAAAACCCCTGTAAAACCAGAGCCCTTGACCAGCTATGACCAGCTTCGGCTGGTTTCAGCAGTTTTTTTTTTTTTTCAGCAGGGACTGAAAAGTTCCGGTTACATTTACCTTAAAGTCAGTAGTCTTCTCATGCTTGTTTTCCCAAATGCTGCCAAGTTGCTTTTAAAGGGAAATTAGGCCCATTACCCCTTCCCTCCCTCCCAGCCTCTCAAATATATGTATATCTGACAATACAGAAACATTTAAGGGATAAAAGTTACATAATACACTTAAATCAGACAAATTTAACACACCCATATTCAGAAAAGTTCCTCTACATAGTTGAATTAAAATTTAATTTTTAGATAGGTCAAGATCAACTCGTAACAATACCAGAGTAAATGTCAAAATGTGCTATTTTTTACACATTAAGGTTTACATATTAAAATTACTATACATCTGACTTAGAGTTAAAATGTCAAACTGCCACATAAAAGACCACACAAAAGATTGAACACCTTATTTATTGTAATACTGTTCTGATGTGTCACGTATGTGTTTGTTTCAGAGCTGTAGTTCAGTCTTGACATCCATTTTACTCTTGTATGGCTCTAGAACAGGCCTGACCTCCTCAGACAAAAACCTTGTAACCTGAGACAAAGAGAAAGTGGAAGAAAGAAAATTACAGCTCACATCATTCATAAAAACATAAAACGTGATAAACATTAGTAGCACAGCAGTGGAATGATGTATAGGTATGCGTGTGTGTACCTGTTGTGGGGCTCGGCCGATGAAGGTTTTGGGGTCCAGTATGGAGTCCAGCTGTCCGAGTATGGGGGTGAAATATGGATCAGCTTGAACCCGAGCCAGCAGTTCATTATCCCCCCCTTCCTGTTTGACTGCAGCCGCAGCTTTCTGGGACAGCACCCGAATCTTCTCATGGCAGTCCTGAGTGTGTTTTCATTACACACAAAAATCAGTCAGTCAGTGTTAAACATCCGTTTCTTTCCTGCATGAAAGTCTGCAACATTTACTGTGCTTATTTGCCAAAGCAAAATTTAAAGTCCCCATTAGGGCTGCACGATAAATCGCATGCGATATTTAACGCGCATCTTATCAGTGAAGCCGGCTCTGTAATCAGCGGTAAATCTCCATCACCTGCGGGCTTTCACATTGAGCAGCATTAACTACACAGAGCCGTTGTTTACTGACGAGCTGCGCAAAAAATTGCGCGAATATGGATGTGGTTTTGCGCAACTCGTCAGTGAACAACGGCTCTGTGTAGTTAATGCTGCTCAATGTGAAAGCCCGCAGGTGATGGAGATTTACCGCTGATTACAGAGCCGGCTTCACTGATAAGATGCGCGTTAAATATCGCATGCGATTTATCGTGCAGCCCTAATGGGGA